GAACAGGGTTCCTTAGGCCCTTTCATGAGGGGTGACCTGATGATTCTACTGCCGACGATGGAGTTGGGGGTTTGGACTTTGGGCTTTCAACCTGCTACTTCGGGCGTAGGTAGAAGGTAAGGCTTCAATGCAGCTCAGGGGCAGCGGCACGTTCGAGAAGCCTACCTGATGAGCTGCGAGACATGTCTTGCGGGACCCCTCCAGTGATCTCTCATGTCTCTTCCCTACTCTACGATCCGACGCCTTGCTTGAAACATGCGTAGGACACGGATCCCGGTTGGGTGACACCCAGGACATGCCTGAGGTGGGGGCCCTCGGGTTCCATCCACGACGATAAGCCGTTAGGAAATCATGAGCGGGTGCGGACGCGGTGCCAGCGCATCAAGGTCGTTGGCTCTCCTTGGGTGGCGAAACGTTTCGGGTTTTCGGGGTTAGGGTTCGTTGTGGGTTCAGGGGCTCGGGGGTTTAGGAGCTCTGGGGTGACTTGGGGCTGTTCTTTGTTGGAGCAGAGGGATAGTTGAACCGCCCTGTAAGCCATGTGGGAAGTAGGACGAAATCCCCTGTGCGGTGAAACAATGGATAAAGAAACTACACGACGCCATGGTGTTCTGCAATGTACTTAGACTACACAAACGTGCACCACTACAGTACTATGTAATTTGAATATCCCATATCTAAGAAAAAGAGAAAAAGAACCTAAGCCCTACCCTAAACCCTACAAACCCCAAACCCTACACCTTCCAAAGTAGTGGGTGCGGGGGGGGATGGCTGGGCTCGTGGGGGCTCCTGGTGCTCGGAAGGGCTTTATGGGTTTGGGTTGAAGGCTTCCGGCTTCGGGCTGGACAGTCTTGGAACCGGGCTCTCCGGGTTTAAGGTTTAGCGTATTAGAGGGATTATAGGGGTTGTGGGGCGAAAAACCGGAATTGTAGGGTTGACAACAAGGCCTATGCCCCTCAGCCGAGAAGTCACTGAACGCTAAGTCTGCTTTCCGACGAGTCTCTGCGTCAGCTTCCGGTAGAAGTAGCCACCGCCCCATATCCTGAGCACAGGCGCCTCAAAGCCACAGCCCCAAGCCCCAACCCCTAGATCCTAAGAAGCCCTCCCAAGCTCTAAAGCCCAAGGGCACCCGAAATGCCCCCATGCACAGGGGCCATTGCAGGGCTCAGTATCCTGAACCCCCCCAGATTTGGGAGGTCGGCGGTTTCATTCGGGTTTAAGGCTTTGGGGCGATTGTCTATGCAGATTTTCAATAAACAAGAATGGAATGTGGAAACATGTACAAATATGTGACGATTCAACAAATGTGAGATCTTGGCCCAAGTGCTTGGGCTTCTCCTTGTTCGGATTCAGGGTCTGCAGGGCTTCTGTAGGCCTTCGCCGTTTTTTCGGGGCTTAGGGGTGTTTAGGGCTTCGGTGCTTTCAAGGCTTTAAGTTTTGGGACTTGGCGGAGGGGGCTGGTTCGGGCTTTGCGGTTCCGGGCCAAGAAAGGCCTGAAATGGTAAGCTCTTTCGTGGGCTGATGCAGGGCGCGGGGGTGGGGGGTGAAGGCTAATACTCCCTTCCCCAGAACCCCCTGCCCTCAAGGAACCGATCAGAATACCCCTGAAACCTAAACCCTAAACCCTAAACCCTAAACCCTAAACCCTAAACCCTAAACCCTAAACCCTAAACCCTAAACCCTAAACCCACCCCAAAAGAAGCCAAAGGTCTGCTGGATGCAGGTGGGGTCCATGCCCTTCCTTGGAGCGGCGGCGCGTGGTGGGCTTGAGACCATGAGGGGACTTCTTCCGAAAACTCGGAATGTTTCGGGGTTAGGGTTTAGGGTTTAGGGTTTAGGGTTTAAGGGTTTAGGGTTTAGGCTTTAGGGATGTTTCGGGGTTGGAGTTTAGAGTTTAGAGTTTCGAGTTTGGGGTTGAATCCCAAACTTGAGGGGTTGCTTGCTGGCAATAAAGGCGGGAGGGGGGCGGAGGTGGGGGGGGGGGGTTGCTTTCAATAATACTCTAATGTGCTTGGGAAAATACAGGCACAAACTTCCACCCAATCGGCATTCCTACCCGAGGGTGTTTCTGCTCCCTGAAGCCACCCCCCCCCAAACTGTAAACCCAATAAAGCCCCCCAAGCCCCTTGAACCCCTTGAACCCTAAACACCTTGAACACCCCAAACCCCTTGAACCCTAAATCTCAAACCCAAAACCCCTTGAACCCCAGGCTGCAGACCGGGCATCTTGAACTGAAGGAGCTCGAGCTCATTGCCTACTGCCACCTCGGGGTGACGAGAGGGGTGCGCGCGCACACATGCACGCATGCTGGCTGCCCTTTTAATTGAGGGGGAGGGCGGGTTTTGGGGTTCGGGGTTTGGGCATAAGGTGTGGAATGGCCTAGAGGGGTTCAAATTTTTCTAGGGTCGAAGCTACGAATCCGGGTAGTTAATTCCCTCATGCCTGAACGCTGCGAGACCTAGGCCCCTTTCTCCTCCAGTGTAGGCGGGCCACTCCCATCACGTGATCGCGGCCCAGCTTCTGCAAGAGCTCCTGAAGCGCGTTTAGAGGTGCTTTGTGTAGGTCTTTCACCAGCTAGTGCCTTAACGTGCCTAGCGAACAAACCCGGCCTTTTCTTGGTTCAAAGGAGCTTACAAGCGAATCCCACAAAAAGTGAGAATCTTCGAAAGTGTGTTGCATCTGCAGGGCTTGGGGTTTGCAATACATCCCTCAGTTGAGGCGCGCGATCCAAGGCCCCCCGGAACGAAGGTGAGAAGATAAGACTCCGTAAACCTTCGAATGAAACTCCGATGCCAATAACCGATAGCTGTCAATAAGATAAGGTTGCAACCTTAGGGGGTACGAGTCCTCATCCCTTGATCCCTAGTAGCGCCTTAACCAGTCGCCAGTCGCGGTCGTCGTCCGCCTCGTCGCAGGTGATCTGTGTACCCACGAGGACCTGCAGGAGGCTTAGGGTTTAGGGTTTAGGGGTGGAATGTAGGGCCTTAGTAGCTACGCATAGGTTTTTTTTTTTTTTTTTGGGGGGGGGGGGGGGGCTCTTCTAGTATTATGATGTAGGGACCATAAGGGAATACTCTTTGCAATTGCTCCGACCCCTATAGTAGAAAGTTTAGGGCTTCGGGCTTAGGGCTTAAGTTTAGAGTAGCCCAGACATTCGACGCAAGGTGCAGGCCCGACGCTTCTGCTTCCTGAACTCTAAACCCTAAACCCCAAGCCTCAACAGCCACAACAAACATTCCTTGCCAGAGAGGATTTGCCTACGCGAGCTGATGCGCTTCGAGGCTTTTCCTCTGCGGGATCATCTTCTTCTGCTGTTTTTGCTTCGGCGGGCTTACGCGGTTTCGGCTTGTGCTTTTGCACCCTGCCCAAGCTCTATTCCCCACAATCAAAGAGGAGGGGCGGAGCTGAAAGTTTGGGGTTTAGGTAAAAGATGTCGGGTCGTAACAGGTGCTGAACGCGAGCATACACGACACCAGAGTCTCTTGCCCGAAGCCCCCTACTTGTTTCTTCGTGAAGGGCTTTGAACCCTCATAAACCCTACTTTGGAGTAGACCCTGAAAAAATGTACATACTTTTTATGTATAAGTAGCTTTTATAGGAGCCCAGAACCAAAAAAAGCATAACAGTATGCTACTCCAACCCCCCCCCCCCCCCCCCCCCCCCCCCCCCCCCCCCCGCAAACAAAAAAAACAAAAAACAAAGTGGAGGAGGCCGGGGGAGCGCCTTGATGCCATTGCCATTGCTCCCCTAAACCCTAAACCCTAAACCCTACACCCTACACCCTAGACCCTAAACCCTAAACCCTAAACCCCAAACCCTAAACCCTAAACCCCCCACAAGAAAGGCCAGAGCCTTGATGCCATTGCTCCGCACCGCATCCAGGAGCTGGGCCCAGGCTTCCTCGCGGCTGCCGTCCGGCCAGGCCTGGCTTTTCAGGGACTTGTTGTCTACGTTTTTCCTCTCCTTGAGACTCTGGAACTTCAAAGGTATGCTTCAGGGGCCCCGAAATCGGCGCTGCACCCGGAATGTAGGGGGCGCTTTCGCGTATTTAGTATCATGGCATGAGGAGCTTTAGGAATGATAGAGGGATGGGATTCAGGGCTTATAGCCTCCACCCTGAGATGCCTCCACTTCCAAGCCCAAAACGCCCAAACTCTGAGTCCTCAACCCCCAGACCCTAAACCGCAAACCCTATGGCCCGATGTAAAACCTAAACCCTAAACCCTAAACCCTCAACCCTAAACCCTAAACCCTAAACCCTAAACCCTAAACCCCAGAGCTCAGCTGATTCGGGTCCTTGTCCCAAGCTTTGAAGAGGCGGATGGATGTGAGCTTCTCCTTCGTGGTAACTCGACATCCAAGGTTCAAAGGCGCGCCCTCTGGAAACTTAGGGTTTAGGGTTTAGGGTTTAGGGTCTAGGGTCTAGGGTTTAGGATTTCGGGCTTGGGGTCTAGGGTTTGGGGTTTAGGGTTTAGGGTTTAGGGTCTAGGGTTTAGGGTTTAGGGCACGAACAGCCAGGATCAGGAGCCATCGAAGCTCCCCACCGGGAAGCTTGCGGCCCCTAAACACCTCGAATCCAAGCCGAGGGCTGCGGTTGCAAGGGCTTTGGGGTGCAAGGGGGGTTTCGGGTTTGGTTGAGGACGTCGGGGCTCAGGTGAAAGGCAAGATTAAGGCCTCCAAAGGCTGGGCTCTTAACGGTCCTCCTCAAGACGTCCCGGGGTCTAGCTTTGGGGATACCTATGGGGGTGTTGAGGCTTTGGGCTCCGAAGCCCGAAAGCTTGCCGCGCTCCTGCGTGTTGGGCCAGACTCCTTGGCATCGAGGCCATCTTCGGGAGTTTTGGGGGGGCGGGGAGGTACCTTAACGCTTCCAGAAGGAGTTATAAGGGTTTCATTGGGGCAGGGGTACTATTTATGGGTTCTGCCCTAAACCCCAAACCCCAAACCCCAAACCCCAAACCCCAAACCCCAAACCCTAAACCGTGAATTGACTACTCTAAAGAAGCTTGCAGGTTGAACGTGGCTTCGGGCGCCTTGTACTTTAAGTCGTTATTTCGTTAGGTCCTCAGGGCCTCAGCGGGGCAGGGATTTGCGAGGTGGGTTGCAGGGTGTAGGACGTTCAGGTCTGAGGGTTGAGAGCGCTTCGAGGCTTAACTCTGTTTAGGGTTTCAGGATTTTGCTGAGGGTCTTGGGGTTTTAGGGCTTTATAGGGTTTCGGGCGAAGGCTTTGGGTCGAGAACCTTGCAGCCTAGCATCTTGGAATGCCCCAAGAACACTTCTGGAACGTCGTGTCGTCTATGGCCAGTCCTGTCAAGTTCGGCCGTCGTTGCGTTTTTTTGGTGGGCTACGCGCTGTGTACTTGAACACAGGGCCAGAACATGTAGGGTCTGCAGCATCTGTGGGGCTTCTCTGAGGCCTTCTTCAGGGCTTGTGGGGCTCGTTCAGGGCTTCTGAGGAGGGCTTAGGGCTCATGAGTGGCTCTGGGGTTTCGGGGCTTAGCCCTTCCCAAAACAACTGCCGTAAGAGCCCTGAGAGGCCTTTGTGGAGAGATTTGGCCACGGGGCCAAGGAAGAGGTCACTGTCGCACCGGTAGGCCCGTGCCTGAGAGGCTTTAGGGGCTTTCAGGGCGAGGCATGGGATTTGGGTTGGGAAGTTCCCCCTCATACTGACAGTCCTTAACAGGGATTGTAGTACCCCCCCACTAGAATCCCTATTGAGGACTGTTAGTGTAAGGGGGCCTTAAGGGGGAACATCCCAAGATTTAGGGTTCAAGCGGAGTCGGGTTGTTTCTCGTGAAGTGGGGGAGCCCAATTCTTTCAAACGGGACTCCCTGGTCGCGTGCATTGATTGGACCCTAAACTCCCTGAACCCCTAAACCCTGAACCTTGAACCCCAAACCCTAAACCCCGAACCCGGAGCCCTAAACCCTAAACCCTATGCAATCCGGGAGGCGACCGGAGATGGCCCATTTCCAGCGCCGTCCCCCGCCAGGGCGATGACCACCGACGCGCCCACGGCGGAGAGAAGAGCGGCGGAGCAGGCAACGAAAGCCTGGGGGGGGGGGGGGGGGGGGTAATCCTTTTAGGGCTTACCGGGTTTAGAGTTTAGGGTTTTCGGCCTAAACCCTAAAACCCCTGACATTTAGGGTGTTGTGGGACCGTAAAGGAGGGCTTCTATGCTCCACCTCAATGTCTGAATTTGGCATCTTTTCCTACTCATTTTGCATCATCATCATCATCATCATCATCATCATCATCATCATCATCATCATCATCATCATCATCAGCTCCTACTACACTGAGTGGCTTTCGCCGCAAGGACTGAAGTTGCGCCTTCGTCCCAACTCATGCTGACTCGCCTGCTGGTTCGTATGACTGTGAAACGACGCATGCGACAGCGCCCACGGCCAGCGGCCTCCCCTGCTTGTGGTAGCACTTCGATGCTGCGATAGCAGGGTTTGCACTGCCGAATGGGTTGCTGCGCCTAAAGCATATGGAAGCCGACATGGACAGCATCGATCTGCTTAGCTGCTAGCCTTCGGTTCGGGGCTCAGTCTTTTCAGGCTTTGGGCTCAGGACTTGGGGTTGAAACCCTGGCCAAACCCCCCAACAAAAAAAACAAACATCGACAACCTCAGATGCAGGCAAGGTGCGCCACATTGGCAGATGCCCCTCCGGCCCTGAATCAAGAGAATCCGGCTCTGTGAGGAAGTCCCTACAAGTAAGCCACCCGAAGAACGAAACGCTGTGAGCCCTTGAGGGTTGTGAGTGTATAGGGGGGGGTCGGTGAGGGGTACGAGGGCCCATCGAATTAGAATGGCTATAAGACAGTAGACATCAGATCCCGGACTGTATTGAAAATTGTTCAGGCCCCCGATACTTTCCAGTTCATGTTGCCGAGGCTCAATAACAACAGCGAGGAAGGCTACGTGAAAATTTGTGGAGTCGCATGAGTCCGACATGTTGCCACCAAGACTTAAAATAACGCAACCAGCCCCCCCCCCCCTCCCCCCCCCTTTTTAAGATCTCAAACCTCAAACCTCTTCGCCTCCAAGCCTCCAAAAAGGCCTGCTGTAAAGCTCTGAAGCCTTAACGCTGTCAGATTTGCAGCTTTGAAGGCTTGACTTACATGAAACCAGAAGCCCGGAAACGACCCCGAAGCGGCCATACACAGTCGCGAAGCCCCACGCAACCTTGGCCCAGCCCAAACAACAACTTTTCCAAACACTTGCGTTGGGGGACAACAATCCCTACCCTACTGCTTCTTTTTGGACTTGTCTTTGTTTGAACTTCTTCATTTTTTTGTGGGGGGGGGGGGAGAATCCTAATCCGAATAAAGCACTTCACCTCCTTCTGTGCCCCTTGGGGCTCCCCGCCGAAGCCGGCCGATCTGGCGCGGCACGCTGCATGGCCGAGGTCGAGGTGGGGGAGCCCTCAACCCTCAACCCTCAACCCTCAACCCTAGACCCTAGACCCTAAACCCTAAACCCTAAACCCCTAACCCTAAACCCTAAACCCCTAAACCCTAAATTCCGCTCTCTAGGGGGCCTCTTAAGGGGTGGTGTCTATGGAAGCTGAAACCCCTGGTGTTTAGGGCTTTGTGTTGAGTTCCACACTGAGTGCCCAAGTTATGAGGGGTCGTGAAGGCTTGGGGAGTTTAAGGTTAGGGGCCCCTAGGACCATGAAAGCCCTAAACTGGTTACAGGCGTCTTCGGCGTTCGGGACTCATGGGAGACTGGGGCATGGTGCTGAGCCAGCGGCTGAAAGCAACGCGCAAGCTCGAAATTTCACTTTGCCCACACGCTTGCAACGCAGGAAGGGCAAACCCAGAAGCCCCATAAGCCCCTGAGCCTCTAAACCCTATCACTATGAGCCCACCAAACCCCTAAACCCCCGTAATCCCCTAAGTCTGACCCGTTAAGAACACAACTTCTGCAGGCTTGGCGGGTTCTGGGACTCTAGAGCTTCATAGGGTCTACTGGCAGGCCTAGGACACAGAGCACCACGACTGGGTTTAGGGCTTAGGGCTTAGGGCTTAGGGCTTAGGGCTTAGGGCTTAGGGCTTAGGGCTTAGGGCTTAGGGTTTAGGGCTTAGGGCTTAGGGCTGAGGGCTGAGGGCTGAGGGCTGAGGGCTGAGGGCTGAGGGCTGAGGGCTTAGGGCTAGGGTCTAGGGTTCAGGGCTTAGGGTTCAGGGTTTAGGGAGGCTTTGGGGGGTTTTTGGTGCTGGGCCTCCCTCTGGATAACCCCGTCGCCGGTGCGGTCGGCGAGTCGGAAGACGGCGAGGCTCCGCTCCACCTTCGAGGGCGAACTTGGGATGTTCCCCGTTTTTCTAGCAGTCCTTCGTAGGGGATTCTAGTACCCCCTGTTGTAGTCCCTATGAAGTACTGTGAGAAAAAAGGGGGAGCATCCCAAGGCGAACTTCTCACACCTTCTACCAGGGTTCAGCTGCTTCTGTTTTTCGGCTCAAGGGGGCCCACCCACACAAACCCCGAACCCTGAAACCCTTAAAACCTTACAGGGGCTTGTAGAGTTCCAACAGGTGCCATGGTTTTCGGGGCACCTCGGGATTCATATGGCATGTTCGGTGTGGGGTTTCAAGGCGTTTTGATAGGGTCAACACCCGAAAGACACCTTATATAAGCCATAAGGGGGGTTTTCCCCAAACAGGGATCCCCCTCATATACCCCCGAATACTATAGTCCTTATAGAAAGAACCCCCCCCCAAAGAAAAGGGCACCACATCAACCCCGGACAGAAAAGGCCCCTTGAGGCGGCCTAACACGCGCGGCGCAGACCGGCGCTGCCTCGTCCTCGCTGCAGCCGTACTGGGAGCTGAGGCGTCGGATGAGCGACGGCTTCGAAGGGCTGGAAGATCCTGAGGAGGCGGAACTTCTGGGGTTTAGGGTTTAGGGTGTAGGGTTTGGGGTTTAGGGTTTAGGGTTTTAGGGGTTAGGTTTAGGGGTTTAGGGGTTTAGGGGTTTATGGGTTTAGGGATTTAGGGATTTAGGGGTTTAGGGGTTTAGGGGTTTAGGGGTTTAGGGGTTTGGGGGTTTAGGGGTTTCGGGGTTTCGGGGTTTCGGGGTTTGGGTTTAAGGGGTTAGGTTTAGGGGTTTGGGGTTTAGGGTTTAGGGGTTTGGGGTTTAGGGTTTAGGGGTTTAAGGTTTTAGGGGTTTAGGGGTTTAGGGGTTTAGGGGTTTAGGGGTTTAGGGGTTTAGGGGTTTAGGGGTTTAGGGGTTTAGGGGTTTAGGGGTTTAGGGGTTTAGGGGTTTAGGGGTTTAGGGGTTTAGGGGTTTAGGGGTTTAGGGGTTTAGGGTTTAGGGCTTAGGGGCTACAAAGGGGCTTTAGGACGTTTAGGGGGCTTGTAGGGCGCAGTGCCCCCCAACCCCGTCGCTCCCCCAACCCATCCCCCCCGCAGCCCCCATCCAACCGCGGCTCCTTTCAAGGAAGAAGCTCTGGGCACTTGCCTGTGCAGGCTGTTGGGTTCACTTGAAAATTGGTCCAAGATTTGGGGCCTTTGTTTTGGTAGAAAGAAACTGTACGGGGGACAGCATCCTACAATAGAGACCTCTTCGAGAAGGCCCCGAACGACCCCTAAACCCTAAACCCTAAAACCTTAACCCTAAAACCTAAAGCCTAAACGCAACCGCCGGGGACTGGGATCGAGGTGGTCATACAGAGCACCCCCCCCCCCCACCCCCACAAATCGGAAGACCACTCGAGCTTCGAAACCTGAATCCAATCCCCAGTCTGCTGGAAGAATGCTTTCCAGGCTGTTTCGCGTTTAGGGTTCTTGGGGCTTCGGCTGGAGTTCCGTGCCTCTGGGGGGTGCAAGGCGCCAACTTTACAAGAGGAGTCAATGGAACCAACCACAGCAGTCAGCAACCTGGCACCCTGAGCCCTAAACCCTCACCCCCGAGAGACTCATGCACCCCCCTCAAACCCTGAAGCCCCCCACATGGGGCCCTAAACCCTAAACACTAAACCCTAAACCCTAAACCCTAAACCAAACCCCTAAACCCTCTTTTGGCTCAGAGTCTGCATTCAATGCACGTATCATGAGATTGGTCTTTTCGAAGAGTTGTAGGTCGATACCCCCCGAGACAAGCATCCTAGCCGCAATCGCAGAATGGACCGGTCTTGTGTAGAGCGATGTAGGTAGGTTTCAGGTTTAGGGCTTAGGGCTTAGGGTTTCAGGGTTCAGGGTTTAGGGTTTAGGGTTTCCGTGCTTAGGGGCCCTAAACCCGAAGCCATGAATGTCTGAGGGCTTGTAGGGGAATGTGATGCTGGAACCGAGTGTGGTGGACAACCCGCTAGCACCCTCTTTGGACACCCTGGCCAAACAGAAACACCAAAACGTACGCTAGGGTTTGGGGCTTACTGGCTTGCGCGACTGCGACCGGATGTCTGTCACGTTCGGGATGTCCCCTACAACCTTCCAGATGGAATATGATTCATGATAGAGACTCCTTCAGACGGGTCGCGTGGATGGGCTTTCTGATCTCGCAACATCGGGCCAGCTCGGAATAATGTACACTGAAGCCCTATCCTGACGCTGGAATAATCCCCTCAACCCTACGACCTTTCTCGAGCTCTTGTGTGGCTTCTACTGTGGGCGACAATCGCAAGAGCTAGCAAGTGCTCCCAAGTTCCCCCCCGTCCAAAAAGCACGGCTCTCACTGGGCGTCCTCATTTCCGAAAGAGAGAAATCCTGCAACAGACCAAGCTTCTGGCCTAGTGGCCCCAGTCCTCTAAAACCCCCGACATCTGCAGAAAGCCTGCCACGCTCCACGTCTAGCCGCGTGGAACCGAAGGTCGCAGTTGCCATCTTCGACAAGCCACGCAGGCAAAGAAACGTTGAAATCTTGATCCCTGAGATTCTGCCAGCAAGACTCGAGCAGCGGGTGTCTTTGAGTGACGCTGCCCAGGCAGATGAGATTATTGCAAGGATTCGAGTGGTGTCGCGCGGCCCCGATCCGAAACCCAAAGCCCTAAACCCTGCTGGCGTGCCCTAGATTTCGGAAACCGTCGTATAGTGGTTGAAGAGCCCCCCCCCCAGCGCAATACCATTCGAAGGCTGTTCTGGAAGGTTTCGCTTCGCAGAACACAGTAAGAATCTTTGGCTGGCAACATATCGGTGTATGAGACTATTTCGATCATGCATCGCGTGCATGGCCGATACAAATGCAGCAGCTTCTTGCAGAAACGTTGGCCGCGGCACTTGCTCACTTCTCTACAGAGAGATCTTGAAACGAACGCACGGGCTGGAATCCTTCCGCAGCCGTCCTGAGGTGCACAACAGGCTGAGCAATCCGAGATGATGCTGCACAGGCTGAGCTTCACGATGCTTCACGCTTTGCCAAAGGTCGGGTTTAGGGGTTTATAGGGTTTAGCCGGGCCAGCGACCCTCAAATAATTTGTCATAGGCTCGCAAAATTCTCCCCTTCAAGGCGGCCCCAAAATAGTCCCCACTAGCTTCTGGTCTGAAAATCTCTAGTGCAGCGTTTGGAGCAAGGTGAGAGAACCCAGCAGGTGTGGAGTTTGCTCGGGGTTCAGGGTTGGGGGCCGAGGGGGTTTCAGGATGTTGGGGACCCTAGCAGCGAATCCCACGCCCCTATAACACCCAACCCTAAACCCCAAACCCCAAACCCCAAACCCTAAGCCCTAACCCCTCCGCGAGGTCTCCTTGGCTACCACAGCGACACACTGATCTCCTTGGTCACCACAGCGCAAAAGAAGCCGCTCTGGAAGTTGGCCTGTAAGGAGGGTCCAGTATAGGGGTCGGAGCAATTACTAGTCGCATTCTCCCTTACAGTCCCTTGATAACTGTACAATAATCACCCCCCCAGAGCCCTATTCCACCCTGTATTAGACTACTGGAGTAGAGGCTTAAGGTCGCAGGACTAGAATCAAGGGCTGCTGCCCTAAACCCTAAACCCTAAACCCTAAACCCTAAACCCTAAACCCTAAACCCTAAACCCTAAACCCTAAACCCTAAACCCTAAACCCTAAACCCTAAACCCTAAACCCTAAACCCTAAACCCAGGTGTCGGAAGTGCCTGCACTGTCGGGTCGAAGAGGCCATCCAGGCAAACATCCGCGATGCCCACCACACCTGGCAAGCGTGGGTTTAGGGCTTAGGGCTTGGGGCTTAGGGCTTAGGGCTTAGGGTTTAGGGTTAGGGTTTAGGGTTTAGGGTTTAGGGTTTAGGGTTTAGGGCTTAGGGTTTAGGGTTTAGGGTTTAGGGTTTAGGGTTTAGGGTTTAGGGTTTAGGGTTTAGGGTTTAGGGTTTAGGGTTTCGGGTTTAGGGTTTAGGGCTGAGGGCTTAGGGCTTGGAGTCTGGAGGTTCGGCTCTACACCCTAAACTTGGAATGCTCCCCCTTAGACTAGCAGTCCTCAATAGGGAATTCTAATACCCCGTTGTTAAATCCCTACCAAGGGCTGCTGGTATGACGGGGAACATGCCAACCCCAAACCACTAAACCTGCCTAAGTCCCTAAAACCCCAAACCCCCGCAAGACAACGCTTTGGCCCGAAACAACCCTAAGCAGCCCCGATAGCTCTACTGCCCTAAGCCGGGTTTTAGGGTTTAGGGTGTAGGGTTTAGGGTTTAGGGTTCAGGGTTTAGGGCTTAGGGTTTAGGGTTTAGGGTTTAGGGTTTAGGGTTTAGGGTTTAGGGTGCATGACCGACGGGCAAAGCTGTTTGGACTCCAGGGTACCGGTGTAGTTCTAGGGTTTGTATGGATCAGGGCTACAACCCTTCACCCCCTACTACGCGTTTGACCCCAAACCCGCCATCAACTATCAACAGATACTCAGTATTTGCCACACTATACCCAACATGTTGAAATACACCATCTCCTGCCATGTCAAGATAGACTGAGTTTAGGGTTTAGAGTTTAGGGTTTAGGGTTTAGGGTTTGGGGTTTAGGGTTTAGGGTTTAGGGTTTAGAGCTTAGGGTGATCTACACAGAGTGCACCAGAAGGTATTCTTGAGAACACCGAGGGCGGGAGCTGGGCCTTGGTCGGAGGAGACCACAAAGTGCAGCTGCAAGGCGTCGAGATCCACGGTCAGGGTCAGGCCTAGCACGGCTACATGTCCATGTGCTTGAAGCCTAAACCCTAAACCCTAAACCCCTAAACCTCTAAACCCCTAAACCCCTAAACCCCTAAAGCCCTAAACCCCTAAACCCCTAAACCCCTAAACCCCTAAACCCCTAAACCCCTAAACCCTAAACCCCTAAACCCTAAACCCTGAACCCTGAACCCTATTGAGCACTTCGGGTTGCCAAGGCTCCCAGAATCCCTAACCTCTTCTGGCGGTTAGGGCCTAGGGGTTTGGACTTTGAATTTGGGAGCCGACCCGCAACGGTGGAAATTGCAACTGCAGGATGCCTGGATTTTGGGGCTCAGGGTACTTAGTGCTTCTTGGGCTCAGGCCATTTAAGGTTTAGTGTAGGGTTTAGGGTTGAGGGTCTCAGGATGCTTGTGAAGTTGGAAGATGATTGACAGGCATTCCTGGACTGGCTTGCGGGCTTTAGTCCCTCAACCTCTTTCGGGGTTTTAGGGTCTAGGGTTTCGGGTTTCGGGCTAATACCCCAAACCCCATAGGCCCCAGGCCCTCCCAGGACGGACTATTATACCCTATAACCCCTTAAAACGTCCTTTGAGAGGGTTGATTCTGGGGACTAGGGCCTAATAGCCCATCCCTCAAACCCGACACGCGAATTCCAGGTCTCGCTGAGCGGCAGAGGCCCACCTCCAGCGGTGGCAGCTGCGCCTGGTCCAAGGGCAGGGACTTCTTTTTTTGTTTTTGTTTTTTTTTTTTTTTTTTGGGGGGGGTGGGGTTTAGGGTGGGAGGGCGAAGCCTTCCGCTTAGATATCAGGAGCCTCGTGGTTTCAGGCCTCGTTACCTACAAGTTCAAAGAGGGGGCCGTGCCATCAAGCCCCTAACACAAGCCGTCTTACAACCGCGGATTTGGGTGAAGAGAGCACTTTCGACCTTTCTGCCCCTCCCTCCCGAAACCCAACACCACTAAAGCAATCTCGTGGAGTCAAGGGACTAAAAGGAGGGACCCCTACAACCGACCCTCGGGGTGATGTCGGAGCTACTTAGGTACATAGGGGTTATACATGGTAGTTTTAGAGGGGCTGTATAAAGGAAGAAGCTTTGAGGGCCATTCTAGGGGTTCCTCCTTGTTACCCCTTACAATTGGAGCACCTCACTACTCCCCCACAAGGCACCTTCAGCTTGCGTACATTCTGGCGATCGCGGATGCAAATGACCTCCACACAGCAGATTTCTGCGCAGGTTTTTGGGGGCATTGAAACTTCCTCGACGTGCTGCTTGCTTCTGATGAAGTGCTTGGGAGCTACTCGGGGTGCAGCTCTCCCGGTTGGTCTGCATTTGGCGGGTTTAGGATTTGAGCACTGGGCCCGCCCCAACCTCCCTGTAAAGAGCCGCGCCGCCAAGGAAGTCTAAGGCACTTGCCCCCCTCTGGTTTAAGAAGACCGTGCGCATCTGCTGGATGTTGTTGCCTGGGGGTATCTCTCCATCTTCTATCTCTTTCTCCGGGGGGCGGATGGGGACCCTAAACCCTAAACCCTAAACCCTAAACCCTGCGGGGGCGGAAAACGAGAAGAAACCGCCTTATGCACTACTTGGGGGGGTGTATTACTTGCCCGGGCCTTTCAACCCTAGACCCTAACGCACGCAAAGCTGCTCTAAACTGCTGCCGCAGCTACCCTAAGCCACCCTAAACCCGCCTAAACCACCCTAAGCTTCCCTAAGCGACTGAGCTACCCTCGGCCCTGTAGGAGAGAGGGCAGCTTGGGAAACGTAAGGTTTAGGGTTGGGGTTTCGAGCTTCGGGTTTCACAGGGTTTGAGGCTAGTAGGGTTAGTCATTAGCGACTGGGTGGGGGTTTGAGGGTCTACTAGCCTCTGAAAGGTTTAGAAACAGGACCCTCTTCCTCCTCCTTGTGGGTTTAGGGTTTAGGCGCTTAAGAGAAGACACAAATCATTCCCAATGAATGCAGCGTTAAACCGTTTCTGGAAGGATCAAAGTGTCGGAGCACACGCACCCCAACCCACAAAGAGGCTTGCAAGGTTAGACCCGCAAGGTCCTTCTCCCTATATAGACTTATCTTCACATACACCAACCCCAGCATGTGTTCAAACAAAACCACCCAAACCCCCCAAAACCACCCGAAAACCCGAAAAAAACCCAACACAGCAAAACAGCAAAACCGCAAAACCGCAAAACCGCCAAACCGCCAAAACCGCCAAACCGCCCAAACCCCAAAACCCCAAAACCCCAAAACCCCAAAACCCCAAAACCCCAAAACCCCAAAACCCCAAAACCCCAAAACCCCAAAACACCAAAACCCCAAAACCCAAAACCCAAAACCCCCAAAACCCCAAACCCCAAAACCCCAAAAAAACCCCAAAACCCCAAAACCCAAAACCCCAAAACACCCAAAACCCCAAACCCCCCAAACCCAAAACCCCAAAACCCCCAACCCCAAACCCCAAAACCCCAAAAAAACCCAAACCCCAAACCCCAAAAAACCAAAACCCAAAAAAAACCCAAAACCCAAAAACCCCCAAAACCCCCAAAAACCCAAAACCACCCAAACCACCCAAACCCCCCCCAAAACCCCCAAAAACCACCCAAAACCCCCCAAAACCACCCCAAAACCAAAACCACCCAAAACCACCCAAAACCCCCCAAAACCACCCAAAACCACCCAAAACCCCCCAAAACCAAACAAAACCACCCAAAACCTCCCAAAACCACCCAAAACCACCCAAAACCACCCAAAACCACCCAAAACCACCCAAAACCACCCAAAACCTCCCAAAACCACCCAAAACCACCCCAAAACCACCCAAAACCACCCAAAACCACCCCAAAACCACCCAAAACCTCCCAAAACCACCCAAAACCACCCAAAACCACCCAAAACCACCCAAAACCACCCAAAACCCCAAACAGGGGGAGGAGATGCGGCGGAGGTGCGGCGAACCTTTGAGTCGAAGACGAAGCCTGCAGCGATGGATTTGCTTCAGCTCCAGGGTTTTCGGGTTAAGGGTCTTAAGGCTTATAGGGTTTTAGGGTTTAGGGTTTAGGGTTTAGGGTTTAGGGTTTAGGGTTTAGGGTCTTAAGGCTTATAGAGTTTTAGGGCTAAGGGTCTTAAGGCTTATAAGGTTTTAGGGTTAAGGGTCAAGGTTTTTAGGGTTAAGGGTCTTGAGTTTTAGGGTTAAGGGGTCAAGGTTTTTAGGGTTTAGGTTTGAGGGTTTTTGGGGTTTAGGGTCCAGGGTTTTTTTGGGGGTCTTTAGGGTTTTTGGGTTTAGGGGTGTTGGGGTTTTAGGGTTTGGTGTTGGGGCTCTAAGATTTTGGGGTCTAATTACGGGTGTTGGGGTTTTAGGGTTTTGCGGTTTAGGGATGTTGGGGCTTGAAAAGAAACTTCAGGGCTCGAGAGAACAAACAATGGCGCGCCGGAACAATTAATCCATCTGAAGGCGAGCATTACGATTCTTGTAGGGGCTCTTGATATTTCTCAGTAATCTTGTCTTGTGGGCCCCTGTATCTCGATTACTTTATGATGGGGGCCCGTTTTGAAACACTGTAGAGTCCAAATAAGCTATAATGGAAAAGGCCGACTTTAAAACGAGGCACAACAAAAACCCCGGGAGGCTGCCCAAAAGGTTTCAGGAGGCTCCCCGAAAGGCCTCATCAGGCCCCCAAAGAAACCCAAAGGCAGCAAAAAGCCCCGCGAGGCACCCCAAGAAAAACCAAAAGGCTCCGGCAGGCTTGAAAAAAGTGCCTGCGACACCCCCAAGCAACTGGCCTCAAAAAGGCTCTCGCGAGGTTTGGCGTCCATTCGGTCAGATACGCGACGGCTAAGATACAGAAACTGATGATGGAGGCCTGGACCACTGGTTTAGGGTTTAGGGTTTACCAGTGGCACCCCCGCTGCACCAACCCCACCCCCACCTGACCCCCTCCCTCACAAAAAACAAAAAGTGAACTTAAGATCAAAAACAAACGCTTCGGTCAAAGCATGTCGGCTAAAAATCTGCCCAAACGTTATTGGAACTCGGTAAAAACCCCATACAATTTCAACAAACCTCCTGAACCCCCAAACCCCCCTTAACCGCAAACCCAAAACCCCAAACCCAAAACCCCAAACCCAAAACCCTAAACCCCAAACCCAAAACCCTACACCCCAAACCCCTGAACCCCTGAACCCTAAACCCCAAACCCCTGAACCCCTGAACCCCAAACCCTGGACCCCTGAAGCCCTGAACCCAAAACCCCTAACCCCTAACCCCTAACCCCTAAACCCTAAACCCTAAACCCTAAACCCTAAACCCTAAACCCTAAACCCTAAACCCCTGAACCCTAAACCCTAAACCCTAAACCCTAAACCCTGAACCCCTAAACCCCAAGCCCAGTCGCCGGCGCCATCCGCCGCACCCAGCTCCCCCGAAAGGATGGTGTACTGGTACCTGTGAACGCCTCGGTTTAGGGTTTTAGGGTTTTAGCGTTTAGGGTTTAGGGTTCAGGGTTTGGGGTTTGGGGTTTGGGGTTTGGGGTTTGGGGTTTGGGGTTTGGGGTTTAGAATGCAGCTGTGAACGCCTTAGTTCAGGCTTAGGGCGGGGGGGCTTGGGGGCATTGAGAGGGGTTGAGGTGTAAGCGCCTTCCCGGGGAAGCTTCGGGCTTCAGGGCTTTCGGGTGGGATTGGGGTTCACACCTTGGGGAGGGGGTTCGGGTTTAACCCTAAACCCTAAACCCTAAACCCTAAACCCTAAACCCTAAACCCTAAACCCTAAACCCTAAACCCTAAACCCTAAACCCTAAACCCTAAACCCTAAACCCTAAACCCTAAACCCTAAACCCTAACGCTTAGGCGGCTCTCTGGTGTCTCAGTAAGGCTCTCAAAAGCAACAGCCGATGCTCAAGAACGGCCGAGGCTCAGGGCACACAGTGCCTTTTCATGAGGAACTTGGGGGGGAGGACAGAAAAAACCAAAAAACCAAATTGTTTGGAGAGCTCCTCCATTAACCCCCTTAAGCCCCAAACCCTCAACCCCAAACCCCAAACCATAAGCCGCAAACCCCAAACCCCAAGCCCCAAACACCAAACCCTAAGCCCTAAACCTCAAACCCAAAAGCCCAAACACTAAGCCCCAAACCGAAACCCCCCTAAACCCCAAGCCCCAAACCCTAGCCCCAAACCCTAAACCCCAAACCGTGCTACACCCTAAACCCTAAACCCCAAACCCTAAACCCTAAACCCTAAACCCTAAACCCCAAACCCTAAACCCTGAAAAGCCCACGGGCCTCGGCATCGGAGGGTGGAGTCGAAGACCATACCTGGCTTTGGGTTTAGGGCTTAGGGTTTTAGGGTTAAGGTTCAGGGGGGGGGGGGGGGGACTTGGGCTTTCGGATTTAGGGTTCAGGGTTTAGGGTTTGTGGTTTAAGGTTTCGGGTTTAGGGTTTAGGGTTTCGGGTTTCGGGTTTCGGGTTTTTCGGATTGGGGTTCGGGGTCTAGGGCTTAGGGTTAGGGTTTTGTAGGAGGGCCGAGTAGAGGGGCCTTTGCAAGTGAACAGGTCGCCCTGAGTACTAGCCAAGTTGCAGATCGAGCTCAGTTCCATCGGCATGCCACGATCGTTGATTACGACCTTTTGGGGTTTGGGGTTTTGGGGGTTTGGGGTTTTGGGGTTTAGGGGTTTAGGGGTTTAGGGTTTTACGGCTTGGGGTTTAAGGCTCGGTTGATAGGGTTTAGGACCTATAGGGTTGGGTTGGGAGGGTTCGCTCTACGTAGAGGTTGCGGCCAACTACCTCAACACATTGCAAAAGAAATAATAACAACAACGAGAACAACAACAAGGCTAACAGTGTTAACAATAACAAAACCAAATTTATGGGGATGAAATTGGGGACAAACAACAATAACAACTATTTAGGCTTCCGGTGTTTTGGGTAGTTCATATACCTGGCACAAAGAGTTATGTTGCTGGTTATACGGGGATGATATATGTAAGTATATTGGGAGTCTGAGGGGACACCGTTGGGCCGGGTGGGAATTCCTGGAGAAGGAAGCTTTCAGGGCTCAAGCTCGGCTGAAACCCTAAAACCTAAACCCTAAACCCTAAACCCTGACCCCCGGAAGGCTCCCCGCCTTCTGTCCGCTCGCTGACTTGTTGAAGATGTGGCCATCCGCCGAGATCGATCCGACCTAAGCGGATTGTTGCTTGTTACAGGCCCACCCAAAAGCATGCACATCCCCCAAACCCCCCAAAACCCCCATTTTGGGGGTGCGGGTGCGAGGCAAGGTTGGGAAATACAAGACTTCGGGAATCAAGAAGCAGAAAGAGGTTCCCCCATCTTGGAGGAAAGACCTTCGCGGCGCCGGGGCAGCCGAAGGGCACCCCAGGTGGCCCAGACCATCATCCCTGATCCTAACTACTTCGAGGCATAAGATGGGAGGGATTTGGGCTACTGCGCACATGGGGGGTTGGCGATAGTAGGGGGTACCTTACTGGGTCCCGATTATAAGGGGATCCTCCCATTTAAGGGACAAGATTAGGCCTTATTGTTTTCATAAACCCCCATACTACTTGCCCCTGGCATGTACAGCTGGCTCTTCACGAAGCAGCCATCCAAGAAACACAACATTCCAGGCCGTATCTTCAGTCCGGTCGAGCTAACAGGATCCTGATAGTGTAGCATCGGTTTAGGGTTTAGGGTTTAGGGTTTGGGGTTTGGGGTTTGGGATTTAGGGTTTAGGGTTTAGGGTTTTGGGTTTTGGGTTTTGGTTCTGGGGTCAGGTTTAGAGTTTGGGGCTCAACGTTTTGGGTAGCGCCTGGCCCCGAGCCCCAAGACCCTCAAACCTCTCGACGCGAAAGACTGGGCTGAGGGGTTTAGAGGTTTCGGGTGTTGGGGGTCAAGGATCAAGAATGCAAGGCTTAAGGACGTGGGGTTTATGGTTTCAGGGGTTCGGGGTTTAGGGCTTTCGGGTTTAGGGTTTTAGTGTTAAGGGCTTAAGGTGCAGCCCGGCCACTGTGTTTGCAGATTTATGCCAGCGGCATGCGGAGTGCGCGGTGACTGTGTTCGCAACGTTACCGTAGTCTGTTTCCTGGGCGGCGCGTGGCACTACAAACGCTGCGGCATCTTTGAAAAACCCTTAGCTCACGCCAGAATCACACAACCCGCAGGAGAGCTCGTAACGAAGCCACAGTTGTGGCCTCTCCATATCAGCCAGAGTCTATCAAGATCGAAGAGTAGTGAAGAAGGGATTCAAACAACATCACGTCTAGACAACGATGTGTAGGACAAAGATGTGCTCTCTGACAAGGCCTTCGCGGGGTCCTGCTACCACAAATCCCCCAACCCTTTCTAAACCCTAAACCCTAAACCCTAACCCTAAACCCTGAACCCTAAACCCTAAACCCTAAACCCTCCGAAGCCCAAGCTCCAGTTCTAAGGTCATGGCGTAAGCTGCGAACTTGTTGGCTCCAGCAGTGTTCCAGCTCGCTTCCTCCCAAACACCTTATAAACCCGTAGGCCCTTGTTTAGGGTTTAGGGTTTCGGGTTTAGGGTTTCGGGTTTAGGGTTTCGGGTTTACCTCCTGAACTCCTAAGCCTGAAGCAGCTAACCCTAAGACCCTGAACCCCTCCTTTCAGCCCCTAAACCCTTGACTCTTGGACCCTGAAGCCTAAAACCCCTAAACCTTTAAACCCGAAAATAGCCCCTAAACCGACAGACCCTTAAACCCGCAAACCCTTAAGCCCCGAAACCCTTAAACCTTCGACCCTAAAGCCCTTGAAGCTTATCCCAAACCAAAGCCCTCAACCCTCAACCCCCAACCCTAAACCCACCACCCTCCACCTCTCCACCCTCCAGCCTAAACCCCAAACCCTCAACCCTACACCCTAAACCCTAAACCCGAAGCCCCAAAACACGAGCCCTTGAGCTTTGACATCCCAGAGTACAGCATCCTAAGCACTGGGGACCCTCAATCCTGTAGCCCCAAGAACGCCCCAAGCCCAGGGTTTCAGGGTTGAGTCTGAGGGTTCGGGGTCTAGGGGTTAAGGGTTTAGGGTTTAGGGTTTAGGGTTTAGGGTTTAGGGTTTAGGGTTTAGGGTTTAGGGTTTAGGGTTTAGGGTTTAGGGTTTAGGGTTTAGGGTTTAGGGTTTAGGGTTTAGGGTTTAGGGTTTAGGGTTTAGGGTTTAGGGTTTAGGGTTTAGGGTTTAGGGTTTAGGGTTTAGGGTTTAGGGTTTAGGGTTTAGGGTTTCGAGCCCAATGTGAGAGTCGCTTTTTTAATTGGGGTGGTAATAGTCATATTCGCCGGGCCAGAGGGCCCCAGCCGAAGACTACTTTCCATTACGGGAGGTTTTCGGGCCGATGTATGTAAGCAAGTCTATATAGGGGGGTCCGGTGATGATAATAATGGGGTGGTATTTGTAAAATTTTCCGGCCAGGAATTGAAAATTTTACTGAACATGGCTTAAGAGTTCCATTGCAGAGAAGACTTTTCAGCTGAGCTGGCTTGAAAGAGCTCCAAGGCTCAGTTTTTAGAGAAGCAGATCTCGTTTGAGATTGCTTGTCTCAGACCCCAGACCCCAGACCCCCAGAATCCTCATAATTGACACCCCGCATTTTTTCCACCCCTCCAAACCCCGGGGACCAAAACAAGATTGGGGGGGGGTTCATTAAAGGGACTCTAACATTAGAGCTAATGGTCTAGGGGGGTGCAGAATTTCGGGTTGAGGCCGTGATGAATCGATGACTCGCGAGTTAGTGGAGGCTTCCTTGTTTGTCCCGCTTCCCTCTGGAAAGCGATGGCCCTTAAGCCAGCATCCTACACCCAAAAAGCGGACAATAATATGCCATACCTCAAGTGCCAGGCCATAAACCCTAATCCCGAACCCTTCATCCCCAACCCCCCCCCCCCCTCCAAGGTCCTGCCGCCAAGCAGCCTCACAACGCAGAGGCCCTAAAACCCTGCCCCCAGAACACCAAACCCACAAATACCTAACCTCCAGGCCAGTCCGCCCCTCAAGCCCTGAACCCTAAGCTGTCTTAGACCTCAGGACCCGGGAGTTAAGGGTGACGTTTAGGGTTACTGGCCTTTTTTTTGGGGTGCGCGGATCTTGGGGCCAGGTTGGGTTTAGGAAAAGCTGAGGGACTTGCAGAAGGGTCCTCCTCTGTAGCTTCAGGGCCTCACCTACGAAAGGTACCTCTCTCTCTCTCTCCCTCCGTCCCTCCCTCTCGCTCGCTCCCTCGTGCGCCCTAGCCCTACTCTGGGCGCTCCTCCTGAGCACATTAGGTTGGGGGAGGAGGTTTAGGGCCCAGGTTTAAGGTCCCTCTTGGCTCTCGCTCTCCTCCCCCCCCCTCCCCCACGCGCTCTCGGGCGGCCAAGAGGCGTAGGACGAGCTTCCTTCGGAGGTGGTGTCTCTGTCGCTGCCGTCCTCCATCCCCTAAAAGAAGCCCGGCTTTACGTATCCCCGTCGCTTGCGGGAACTGTTGCTGGCCGCGAAACCCTAAACAACAATCCCTAAAAACCTTAAAAGCCCTAAAACCGTAGAAGCCCTAAACGCCCGACCAACCCTAGCAACCCTTGAAAGAAAACCAAAAAACTACTTCCAAAAAAAAGACTTAGTAACCCCCCTCCCCCCCTCCCCCCCAATACACTGACGTGGCTCCTCCGTGCTCGGGCAGTCTGCGCTTTCGTAGTCCGTCTTGAGAAAACCTGGCTGGGCACGCAGGTAGCCCGGATGCGGCGTGTCGAAGATCGCGGGGTTGACGGCCACCTTGTGGGTTTTAGGGTTCAGGGTTCAGGTTAGGGTTGAGGGTTTAGGGTTGAGGGTTGAGGGTTGAGGGTTGAGGGTTGAGGGTTGAGGGTTGAGGGTTTAGGGTTTAGGGAGGCTTGTTTGGGTGGCGTTGGGCTTGGGAGGGTCGGGGGGGGGGGGGGGGGGTTAGCCTACACCCCCTGCAACAGACAACACTCCCGCAAACCCCAAAACCGGTTTGTACACCCCCAATAAACCCTCCCCGCTGCCTTGATGGGCTCACTGTTGATGTCCATGGGCCTCAGCGTCCGAGGGGGAGACTCGGGTTCTAGAAACCCCCTACGAGTACCAACCCTGGAAGACCCAGGGTTTAGGGTTTTTAGGGTTCAGGGTTTAGGGTTTAGGTTTAGGGTTTAAGTTTAGGGTTTAGGTTTAGGGTTTGGGGTTCAGGGTTTAGGGTTTAGGGTTTAGGCTTTAGGGTTTAGGGTTTTAGGCTTTTAGGGTAAACCGAAGCTGTCCCAGGCGCGGTGGGAGTCCAGGTGGTGGGCGGCAGGGGAGGCTGCACATGACCAAGGATGGCTCGAGCAGCATGTTCCACCTGGGCACATGGCAACATGGGAGGGTGGAATCCCTAACCCTAAACCCTAAACCCTAAACCCCCTAAACCCTGAACCCTAAACCCTAAACCCTAAACCTTAAACCCCAAACCCCAAACTCTAAACCCTAATCCCGAAACCCTCCTGCACGCGCCCCCTGATGCTGACCTCGAAAATGTCTGTCAGACAGAGGACAGAAAGCCCAGTCCCAGAAGACACACATGCAAATGGAAAGAAGACCTCACTCACGCCTACTTCTGAGGCTCTGCGGGGACAAAACCGTATACTGCAAGACATGACTCAAGAGATGCTCAGGCAAATTCATAGTACACCAGGGGGCCTTCTTGAGGGCCACTGCTTTTAACTAGTCCCCCTGTTGTTTTCGGGAGTTGAGGGTGCAAGTACACCGGCCGTGCTCGGCATCAGGTGGCCTTTCTTGACTGGGAGCACGGTCCGGCACGATTCCCAGAAGCCAAAGGAGCAGATGAAAAGCTGCATCTTCCATCAGCATCATATCAGCTTCCGGGAGCTTCAAGGGCCCAGAAAAGCCCCCAAAAGCTCCCAAAAGGCCCCCCAAAAGGCCCCCCAAAGCCCCCCCCAAAGCCCTGGCACGTCTTTGAGGCGCCTGCTGCCTTGCGGTGCCGGCCCCGGTATGATGAGATCTCTCTCCTACTTATTGCTCTCAGAGCCAAAATGGCTTTCAAGCGGCGAAGCCGATGGCGGCAGGCGATCTTACGACCTGGGGGAACCGGACTTGAAAAAAAAACATGTGCCCAAACAGACCAAAAAAGGAAACAGTCAGCACTTCCAGGCTTGGGATGGGCATTTCGGGGGCAGGGGGGGGGGGGGGGGGGGGGGGAGGACTTTTGAGACCTTGCCATTCCCACTTCGGAGCATTCTGGGGCTCCGGGTTAGCCCTGTGGGGGACCTTGGGGTGGATGTTACCTCACAACCCAAGCGCAACACAACTTAACTAAGGGGGGAACAAGGTGGGAGCCCTCGAAGGGACCCTGAATCTTAATCCCCTATATATCACCCCCATATACAACTAAGAAACAACCACATATACATAGATATCATATGTATATATATATATATATGTATATATTTCATTTTATGTATTTATTTCTATGTACCTTCTCTAGTCCCTATATACCGAAGTAGCTAACCCCTAAGGTCCCTTACAAGGGCCCCTCCTTTAGTTTCTTGAAGGCCCTGCTGCAGGTGCGGCTAAGCTTGCCTATAGGGGCCTATTAGGGTTTAGGGTCTAGGGTTTAGGGTTTAGGGTTTAGGGTTTAGGGTTTAGGGTTTAGGGTTTAGGGTTTAGGGTTTAGGGTTTAGGGTTTAGGGTTTAGGGTTTAGGGTTTAGGGTTTAGGGTTTAGGGTTTAGGGTTTAGGGGCCCCGGAACATAGCCCGAAACCCCTAAGCCCCCAAACAGCCCCTGACGTCTCACATTGAGGCACCCACGCTGTAAAGCCCAAACCCTAAAAAAATCCCAAATCTTGACCCCTTAAAACTCTGAGCCCCTTAAACCCTAAACTCTCCTTAAACCCTAAAACCCCGGTAAGCCCCAAGACCCTCAACCGCAGCAAGGCCTCAGCCCCCAAGGGCTCCTTCTGGATCCCAAATCGCCACCCAGCCCTATTTTTTCACCAACCCTGAACACCCCCAAACCCTTTAAGCCTCCCTCCCCCCCTCCCCCACAAAAAAAAAAAAAAGCCTTTGCTGTGAATCCTGTAAATCTTTCAGGCCCCCAGACGCCCTAAGAGCCCTGCAAGCCAGATAAGCCCCAAGACCGACACCGCAAAATCCTACAACCCCTTAAACCCTAAACCCTACAAACCCCTCACCCCTAAACCCTACAAACCCTAAACCCTAAACCCTAAACCCTAAACCTAAAACCCTAAACCCTAAACCCTAAACCCTAAACCCTAACAAACCCTAAACCCTAAACCGACCCTAAACCCTACAAACCCTTCCCCCCAGGCTCTCTCCCGAAACCTGTGCCTGAGGCTGGCTGTAGCTCCCGCAGTGCCACCGACCACAGCGGAGACGGCAAAGAGGGCGCGGGAGGATCCGCGAACCTGGGTTTAGGGTTTAGGGTTTTAGGGGTTTAGGGGTTTAGGGGTTTAGGGGTTTAGGGGTTTAGGGGTTTAGGGGTTTGGGGGTTTGGGGGTTTGGGGTTTAGGGCTTCGGGGAGGTTGGGCTTGGAGCTTGGAGTTTGGGTTGCCCTGAGGGGGCTCCTTAAGGATTCAATTGCCATGAGTTGTACAAGGCGCTGTAGGGATGAGCGCCCATAAGCATTTAAAACGACACACTGCGCGCCGCCAACCTTCAAACCCCGAAGCCCTCAAACTCTGAACCGCGCTAAACCCCAACCTAAACCCTCACCTCAACCCTGGGCCCCCCAAAACACCCAAACCGCCAAATCCCTAACCTCAAAGCCCCTAAATCCCAGCGCCCCGACAGCTCAAAGCCTGCAGAACCTCCAAACCAAACCCCCGCATGCACGCAGAACCCTGAAGGCTCAAACCCCGAAAACCCTAAATCATCGGAACCTGTGCCCCCCCTGCTTCTCAGAAAGTTCAGGCCTTCAAGTATTTGGGGTGGGGGGTGGGGGGGATCTACCCCTAAAGACGGCTCAGGTTCGTCTTCTGGCCTGGTCTTTCGGTTGCCGAAGAGAGCTAGGTTGCAGAATCCTCCAAGCAGATTTAGGCTGGTCATAGGGCATTTTGGGGTTCGGGGTTTTGGGGTTTTAGGGCTTCTGCTGTTTTGAGTGTTTTTAGGGGTTGTCGGGGTTTTGGGGGGATTGTTAAAGTTTTTAGGATTGAGGGCTTTTAGGACTTAGGGTTGAGGGTTTAGGTTTAAGGCTTGTAGGACTCACAGGGCTCGAAACCCATCCCCTAAGAGGAGTGAACCCGACGCCCTGAGCTGCAATCGGGTCAGGGGTTCAGGGTTCGCTGGGGAGGGACGGGGGGTGGCACCGGGGGTGGGGGGGGGGTTCCCGCTGTTGTGGGAATTGCAATTCCCTAGACCCTCATGCCATATAACACCCTTAAAGTACGGTCCCTTCTTGACTACGTGCACCCCTCTGGCCCACCAGGGCTCGTGAAGAAGCGCCTGTTGCCAACATGGTATGCTTTCCTCACGACCAGGAAGGCCGTAAGGATCCCAGTGTCTCATCTCTGTCAAGATACAACAGCTCAGTGTAGAGATGCCATGCTACGATGCCAAGCAACGGAGGCGCCGTGAGCACGGTCGTCAGCACGTCTCGCAAGAGGTCGATGCATTTCTACTGACTCTTTCATTGGAGGCACGAAGAACAACCCAAAGCTTGCGATCATTGGCCTGCTGCCCCAAAGCCAAATGGCAATGCCAGGTATTCCGCTCAACTCCAAGCACCGTTTTCTTGTCAAACATTTCATCGGTGACGTGGGCCTTTAATTTGAGAAACGTGTCCTTCTCCTTGTCGCTGTCGTCGCTGCGGAAGGAGCTGAACCCAGTGGGCGCGCTGGACGCTCGAGTCAGTGCGCTGTGTCTGTCTGTCTGTCTGTCTGTCTGTCTGTCTCTGTCGTTTGTATCTTCTTGCCTATTGGGTAAAGAACAGTACAATGTGAATATATATGTGTATACATATATATATATATACATATATGTGTGTGTGTGTACATTTTATTCACTCAACTGTATGTATTCAATTAGAGCGCATGTATTTGTGCAACTTGTTTTGCTTTTTGTTTATGTATAATCTAAGACCTTATTGACCCTCATGTCATATCTTGTGAGGTCATGAACTGCATTGTAGCGTGAAGAGCACAAGACGAAGCCATCATGTCACTGCGCATAGTCGACTGTAGATCAGATGTTCTCTCCTGCTGCACCCGCGGGTACGACACCAACACCCAAACCATATGCCCCAAACCCTAAGCCCGTCTACAGTCGGAAGTCTCATAGACCCTCCACAAGCAACCTCCTGCAAAGACGATAAGGGCAAAACGGCTCATCGAAGCACAAACACTGTTTCTACACTCAGGCGAACAGTCCTCCAGTTCGATACCACTAGTATCAGGCTGAACTCACTTTGTGACTGCGTGAAACAGATGCCCGAAAGCACATCCTCCCCTAATCTAAAGTGCTTAGGGAAGTTATTTATGCTTTGCATAAGTGGCGACGGGATTGCGGCATGTGACGCGGCTCGGAAATGTCATGCCTCTGAATTTCAGGGACTTCAGGCTGGGAAACTTCGTCCTGGTCCAGCCAGGACATTTGAGGTTTGACTGGTGGGCTTCTTGGCTCCTGCCGGAGACTTTCGCCCTTTCCCACCAGCGGAGGATCTTCCAGCGCGGGATCTCGGGGAACTTCGTGCTCTGGTGGAATCACTTGCAGAGTGTCCAGCTGGGCAAATAAATAAAACGCACGTTGCATCCTTGACAAAATCCAGGTTATCCTCCGCGTCCATCAAGACCATGGGGAGCATGAAATGTGCCGTGGCCGCAAAGATGTCATTCACAGCCCAAGACATGGCCAAATCGTAGTTTGGGAAAATGGTGTTCATGTCTGAAACCTTTCTGGAAGAAGTAAACATTCCAAAAAAAAGTCTACATTCGCCAGGAATGAATGAAGCATCGAAGCCCAGCATGGTCCCGGAAATGATCGAACCACAAACATATTGCACCCACATTCGGTCACTTGCATCGGTGAGTTTCTCTCGGTAGTAGATGGACATGATCAGGTATCCGTACAGCATGAGTTGAATCACAAACATGCACATGCATGCAAACATGTTCCCAGCATGGAGATCTGTCCAAGTTGCGCTGAAGCGGACTCACCTGCATCCTCAAGCTCGAGAACATCTGATACAGTGAGAACAGCGACCGAGCAGTAGCCCACACGAGCGCAAGCCACACGGCCAAGGCAGGGGAATGCCTCACTGTGCCATACTGCAAGACGATCAAAAAGGAAAACTGCAAGAATAAGAGTAGGTTGTCCCTTGTTTCCTCGATCCTCTTTACCGCCATATCAGGTGGTGTCACATTGGCGCCCATTCTTTTCCCTCGCCAGAGTAATGCCTTGCAGCTGTAGTTCTCTCTTGGCCTGTCTAATCCAAACCAACAGCTGCTGATGCACCAGTGCACTTGCATCAGAACATACAAGTTGAGAGCAGCAAGACACCCCCGATAAGGACCTGGATTTGAGAGAGCCAGTCAAGGAAGACGAAATCGGATCCTGGGGAACCATCGGATCCCGGTGCTTCTTCCATGACTACACAGGGGCAGGGAAGCGGAAAATGCACGATGCTTTTTGCGATGAATTGCTTGAGCAAACGGCTCTGACCCCCAAACCCTAAGGAATCCCTGGGCCGAAATTTAGAGAACTGCCCAAACATCTTGATACCTCAGCCCTGAGTTCCCTAAAATCCTAAACTCAAGCGCTACGACCATGCACCCGCACATGAAGCAGCAGCCGCTCCTCTGAGCTCGAAAGACCTTGGCACTTGCGGCGAGTGGGCACTAAACACTGGGCAAGAATCAGTTCTCGTTGTGAATTGCAAGGGTCTGGGGGATGTGACCCGAATTTGCGCGTGCGTGTCTTACGGGTGCTTTGCCAGTATCTGGGGTTCAGGTTATGGTTGCTGTATGCTGTTGTGATGCTCTTACGGACTCTGATCAGTATGATTGTTACTATGATTATATGTGCTATGATCACGATTGCTTGCAATTAAATTACGTAAGTTTTTCGGGTGCCGGGGGGGGGGGGGGGGGGGGGAGGTTCTGGGCAGGCTTGTAGGGTTGAGGGGGTTCTGGTTGTGGGGGCTGGGCTTCAGTGAACCCCTATGAGGGCCCAGGGGGCCTCTTGTAAGTGGAATGGGCAAGTGGGAGAGCTTCAGAAACTACAGTTTGATAGGTGTAGGTACCGTAAGGAGTCGGTAGTCTTGTCCAGTAATTCGGCTGCTAGAGATGTATGGAGGCATTGGGGAGCCGAACACCACAAAGGCGAAATTAACAGAGCCTTCTGAGACCTCGGCAGGCGCATCGCAGCGCAATGCGCGAACTTCACACGCCATGGCGCAGCGCCCCCCGCGCTGTCCAGCGAGAGAGGCGGAGAGTTACAGGGCGGCTGCCTGGCGGCAAGCCTGCCGAAGAAGTACGTTGCTGCATACCATGCCCAACAGTCTACGAGACACCTAAAGCCATCTAGCAACAAAAACCCTACAACTTCGAAACCCTAGAACTTCAAAAATGTCTTCAGACCCTAAGAACACGAAGAAGCTCAAGGACCCAACCCCAAAGCCCACGAGCCCCTCCCCAACCCGTTTGGAGACGCTTGGATTTAAAACGGCTAAGAGACAAGAAATTTGCTGGGCGCAAGGGGTTTTTTCACTTTGCAGCCCAGTGGGTTCGTGCGTTTAGTGGGTTTGGTGGGTTTTGGGGTTTTGGAATTAGGGTCCAGGTTTTAGGATTTTGGGTTTCCGTTGGTAGAAGGAGGGGGTACATGGGTTTGGGGCTTAGGGTGTAGGGGAGGCAAGGCCAAGCTATCTTGGTACATTGCAAGGGATTTGGTGCCTTTGACCCCTTCAAGGACCCCCCAAAACCCCTCAACCCGAATTCCCTACGATGAGAAAAACAGAACACTCCAAAAAGTTCGGAACATCCCTATCCCCATACCCCAAAAGGTCTATTCAAGGGAAGGCCAGCCCTAAGGTTCCGGAACTGTCTGGAAGTTTACTGTGGCTTCAAGACGGAGCTCTGCACAAATTTCCGCAGCTTCCGGCTGGAGAGGTTGGTCTTCTGCACTTCCAGCAGGTGGAAACAAAGCGGCGCTACCGGCTATGTACATCACCTGAGGCTTGCGACCGCCGACGCTCTAATCTCAACCCTAAACCCTAAGCCCTATAAACCCTATAAACCCTACAAACCCTATAAACCCTATAAACCCTATAAACCCTATAAACCCTATAAACCCTATAAACCCTATAAACCCTATAAACCCTATAAGCCCTATAAACCCTAAAAACCCTGTAAACCCTATAAACCCTATAAACCCTATAAACCCTATAAACCCTATAAACCCAAATCTTCCCTATAAACCCTAAACCCCCAACCCTAGACCCAAACCCCGAACCCTGAGCCCTACACTCCGTGATAGCTACACCCTTCGGGGGGCTTAGTGTTCCAGGGGCTCAGGGACCTTGAATCCCCAAACCCAAGAGTGACGTTTGGGGTTTAGGGTTTTAGGGTTTAGGGTTTAGGGTTTAGGGTTTAGGGTTTAGAATCCGAAAGTTCGGTCTTCGTGCTGGGCGCTCAGAGATAGCCGTCAGCATACCTCCACCTTCTCAAAGCGGTCTTCTTGTGAGGATTCAGGATTTCGGCTGTGCAGGGTTTGTGCAAGTAAGTGCTTTTGAGCCTTTTGGGCGTAAAACTTGGAACCTCAACCCGTCTCCTGCAAAGCCTAAGCCCCGCTATGGGAGCCCTGAGCCCTAGAATCTAGGACTCAGAGCGCAACCCCTCCCCTCCCCACCCTAAACCCTAAACCCAGAGGTTGCACCTGGACATCAGGTCGTAGTAGCTGCACCGGTTCACCGGCAGACCTCTTTGGAGCAGGGGCAGCCACAGGGCCAGAAGCTGTGATTGGCTTGGGCTTGCTTGGGCACCGGAAAGCCTCAAGCCCTGAAAACACCAAAACCCGAAACTCCGGTTGACTTGCAATCGTTCTTCAAGTTTAAGAGAGTTTCATGGGCCCCAATCCCTGGCTACCCATCTACAACTCGCAGAAACTTCATGTTCATAGGGTCCCCCAAAAACCCTAAAACCCTAATCCCCACAACAACCAGAACCCCTAAACCCCGACTTAGACTCGCGGATCCTCCCGCGCCCCCCCAGCAGGAAACCCTCGTAAGCCCCAAAAAACCATGCATGGATTGCAGGCCTTCCTTCTTCAAGCAGCGGTTCTCCGCCTCAATCTTCGTCAGGGTTTGGGGGGTTTAGGGTTTAGGGTTCAGGGTTTAGGGCTTAGGGCTTAGGGTTTAGGGTTTAGGGTTTTGGGTTTTGGGTTTTGGGTTTTGGGTTTTGGGTTTAGGGTTTAGGGTATTGGTGGTCTGCGAGGTGCCAGCGGAAACCACCTGAGGGTGCTGGACCGTGAGACGAACCTTCAAGACCCTAAACCCTTAAACCCCTCAGACTAACCCCCATGCCTAAACCCCTCAAAACACTATTATACATCCTGCAGCCCCGATAAAACTTAATTGTTGCCCTCAAATCCTCAAATCCTCAAACCCTCAAACCCTCAAACCCTCAAACCCTCTCACCCTCAAATCCTCAAACCCTCAACCCCAAACCCTAAATCCTCAAATCCTCAAACCCTAAGCCCTAAACCCTAAACCCTAAATCCTCAAACCCTCAAACCCCAAACCCTAAACCCTGAACCCTCCGACCCTCTTGGGCGTCCAGGCCATGCAGAGCCAGAGCATGAGCTCCCGCCGGCTGGACACCTTACTTGCGGTTTAGGGTTTAGGGTTTAGGGTTTAGGGTTTAGGGTTTAGGGTTTAGGGTTGAGGGTTTAGGGTTTAGGGTTTAGGGTTTAGGGTTTAGGTTTAGGGTTTAGGGTTTAGGGTTTAGGGTTTCGGGTTTAGGGTTTAGGGTTTAGGGCTTAGGGCTTAGGTCTTAGGGCTTAGGGTTTCGGGTTTCGGGTTTCGGGTTTAGGAGTTGGGGGCCTAAGTGCCACAATATGGTTATAAGTTATAAGTGCAGCTGTAAATGGTGCATATGAGTACCATAAACCTCCAAGTACAGTTTGGGGGGCGTAGGGATATAGGCAACTTCTGGAACACCGGGCCATGGCTTAGGGTTTAGGGTGTAGGGTGTAGGGTGTAGGGTGTAGGGTTTAGGGTTTAGGGTTTAGGGTTTAGGGTTTAGGGTTTAGGGTTTAGGGTTTAGGGTTTAGGGTTTAGGGTTTAGGGTTTAGGTTTTAGGGTTTAGGGTTTAGGGTTTTAGGGTTTAGGGTTTAGGGGTTTCTTTCGGCTTGTCTTTTGTTTTTTTTGTTTTTGTTGTTTTTTTTTTGGGGGGGGGGGGGGTAGGGTTTAGGGATGAAGGATTTGAGGGGTTTCTTGGGGGGGCTTTAGGGCTTGGGGGTTCCATGGCTTCGGGGCTTGGGGGGATTTTGAAATTCCAGGGGCGTCCAGGGTTTAGTGTCTAGAAATTGAAATCTAGGGCATTTACGAATTCCTAAACCCTAAACCCTAAACAATAAACACTAAACCCTAAACCCTAAACCCTAAACCCTAAACCCTAAACCCTAAACCCTAAACCTTAATCACTCAGGATCCCGGGGCTTTTAGGGTTTAGGATGCAGGGCTGAGTCTTGCCGATGCTTGGGCATGGGGTGGGGGGACAGGACATAGAAAAACTACATCGCTGCAGCCAGTAGTGGCAGTCCGTAATAGGGATTATGATAAGTTGTACGATAATCCGAACAACGATTGTGAATAAAAGGGGGAACATCTACCAGGACTGTTGGGCCCGGCCAAGCGAAAAAACAGCTCGGGACTGCACGAGAAACTTGCCGCCATGAGGTACAAGAAGCTCCAAGCCCCGAAAAAATCTCCAAATCTCGAAAGCCTACACCACTTGACCCCCACCAGCCCCGCCAGAACAGAAAAGAACCGAAGACACGGAATCTTAAACACAGCAACCAACTCTTACGCCTCAAAGCCATGCTGCCGGGGGAGGGCTGGCTTTCAGGGCCGTCTTGTAACCGTCGGCCTTGGTAACTTTGGGCTTATGGCTC